ATCGGCGTTTTTGGTACCAACACTCTAGTGAGTTAAATCATTCTATCCTGGGAGGATATATTCTAGAACCTCGGGTACTTGAGGGGAATAATTTCCTTAAGGACATACTATGTATTCAGTGGGCTCGATTTGTTCCTATAACGTTTCAAAATTTATTTTGAAGTTCAAATATTGTTTTCAGATTTTTTACTAACTTTTTGTTTCTGTTTTCAGAAAGATTACTGTTTTATTTATTTACAGCAATATAGATTAATAACATTTTTAGCCTTCAATATTTATATATACTTCATAAACATGCTTTAATAATAATTATGTAGTTTTTAAAAATATATATATACTACAAGACGTAATATACACGTGCAAAATATCATTTCTCTTTTTTATCCTTCGTTAATACATTTTAAGTGTGACAAAATTATAAATAAAAATAAATTTATTTTTACAAAATTCAAAATTGTCGGGTGGCAAAAAAGGAAAACGAAGAAGAGAACAAGTGGGGAACTATTTTTCAATTAATATATCCCTACAAACATGATTGTCCTTGGTTTAAAAAGGAAAAAAAAGAATCGAAAGTTAATATTAATACTATTAAATTGAAGTCAAAATTATCGTAGGTTCAAATAGAAAAGAAAAGAAAAAGAGATAATAAATAAGAAACTATTACTTAATATCATTCATCAACCTAATTAGTTTTTTGGTGGAGTTCTTAAATTATAATTTTAAAAACTAAAATCATAAATCTTTTAACTTTTATGTGTGAATATTGAAACTTGGATGGACGAATAATAATTTTTGAATTTGGAGTGATAAAATTATAAAACTAAAATAAATTTATGATTTAATATATTAACAGATGATTGAAAAAATTTATGTGGTAATTTTTTCTTTTACTGAGTTAGGTACACATGATCACCATTCAACATTTATCATTTTCAGAAATATATACTTTTATTTGATAAATCAAACATAATATTTTAATATTCTTTTTTCATTGAGATAGTGTACACGCGCAACGTGCGTATCATGAGACTAGTAAAATATAAGACATGTCTTTGCTAGTGTTACCAATTAACTATAGTTGATAAAAGAAAACAAATTAACTTTATCTCTAACTATAGTAAACTAATGTAGTATCATGTAAACATTATGTAAACAAATTCTTTCAGTAATCAAGTGCATAAAGAGAAGTACGTGATAGCACACTGGTAGAGTTACTACTACCTTACATCTTAGAGATGCAAACCATGCTTTACATTAAACGTTTCTCCTCCTCCATTTCCTCATTACCAACATCCCACTGCAAATGTTAAATACGAAATAAAAATCCGTGGGAGAATGAAGATAATTTTATTCTTAGAGCAATTCAATAGAAAAAACCTCTCTATACAAACACGAAATCTTTTATCTATTAAGCAGAGTTCCTCTTAGTACATGAAATAGAGATAATCATGAAAATATCAAACATTTGATACGATCCACATTCCTACACATTTGTAGTCTGTAGATATTCTTGTAAGCTACCAATATACACAAATAAAGGGATTTTTACACAAATAGCCAACCATATTTATTGTTTACTTTTTCTAGCCATATACATAGATTATGCATTAATTATACACAACTATACACATATAATACATAAAATATACATATATTATACCCCACCGGCTATTTTTAGTTTAAGAAGTTGGATAGTCAGCTATTTGGGTTAATTCTTCAACTTAAAAAAAGGCAAATTTCTTTGGGCCTTGGTAGATGAAACAAGAATTGTATTTCAGCCCAAAATTTGCAAACGGCCCATTAGTTAAAATCCAAATAGGCCTATTAATTCCTCCACACCTTTCACCACCAAAATCTTTACACAAAAACCCTAAACCCTGGCTCCATATTCTTCTAGCTTCAGTCTCCAGCCTATCCCTTATATAACACTCTCATTTCTCACTCTGTAAAAACCCTAGACAATACACAACCTTAAACCCTACCTGAACCCTCCCCTAGCCGCCATGACTGACGTCGAGCTCTCTCGTTCAGAGAAGAAGAAAAAGAAAACCAAATCTCTCAAAAATGACGACGAAACCCAAACACTTGACAAAAAATCCGATCTTGATGTTGATTTTCTCATCAAACCGCAAAGCTACACCCCCACTATCGACACTTCACAGTGGCCCATTCTCCTGAAAAACTACGACCGTCTCAATGTACGAACTGGTCACTACACTCCTCTCCCATCTGGGTTTTCACCACTGAAGCGTCCACTTGCTGAGTACATAAGGTACGGTATCCTTAATCTTGATAAACCTGCTAACCCATCTTCACATGAAGTTGTAGCTTGGATTAAAAGAATCCTCCGGGTCGAGAAAACGGGTCACAGTGGTACTCTTGATCCTAAAGTTACTGGTAATTTGATCGTTTGCATTGATAGAGCGACCCGTTTGGTTAAATCCCAACAGGGTGCTGGTAAAGAATATGTTTGTGTTGCTAGATTACATGCTGATGTCCCTGATGTTGCTAAGGTAGCTAGAGCACTTGAGGCTTTAACTGGGGCTGTGTTTCAAAGACCACCTTTGATTTCTGCTGTGAAAAGACAACTTAGGATTAGAACTATTTATGAAAGTAAGTTGCTTGAGTATGATGCTGATAGGCATTTGGTTGTGTTTTGGATATCGTGTGAGGCTGGTACGTATGTTCGGACGCTTTGTGTGCATCTTGGATTGTTGCTGGGCGTGGGTGGACATATGCAGGAGTTGAGGAGAGTGAGGTCTGGGATTTTGGGTGAGAAGAATAATATGGTGACGATGCACGATGTGATGGATGCACAATGGATGTATGATAACTATAGGGATGAGACTTACTTGAGGAGGGTAATTATGCCATTGGAGGTGGTTTTGACTAGTTATAAGAGGTTGGTGGTTAAGGATTCGGCAGTGAATGCTATTTGTTACGGTGCAAAGTTGATGATTCCCGGGCTTTTGAGGTTTGAGAATGATATCGAGGTTGGTGAGGAGGTTGTGCTGATGACTACTAAAGGGGAGGCCATAGCATTGGGGATTGCGGAAATGACCACTGCTGTTATGGCCACTTGTGATCATGGTGTTGTTGCTAAGATTAAGAGAGTGGTGATGGATAGGGATACTTATCCTAGGAAATGGGGCTTGGGGCCGAGGGCTTCGATGAAGAAAAAGTTGGTTGCTGAGGGGAAGTTGGATAAACATGGAAAGCCAAATGAGAAAACTCCAGCTGAGTGGTTGAGGAATGTTGTTTTGCCTACAGGAGGGGACGCTATGGTTGCTGGTCTCGCTGCTGCTAATGTGAAAACTGATCCTGATGTGGTGCCTGCTGATGGTGCAGTTGGTGATGTTGAGAAGAAAAAGAAGAAGAAACATAAGGAAGATGAGGAGGAGGAGGGTAACAAGAGAAAATTAGATGACTTAGATGCATCCCCTGCACCCAGTGCTTTAAAGAAACCAAAGGTAGAGATAGTCGAGGAGAAGAAAGCTGGAGATGAAGCTGTGGAGGTTCAAGTCACAAAGAAAGAAAAGAAGAAAAAGAAGAAAGAAGCTGATGAAGCTGCAACCCCTGATGTAGAGACGGCAAAAAAGGAAAAGAAAAAGAAGGATAAAGAGAAAGATGGTGCTGCATCTTCAGATGAGGAGAAGTCTGAGAAAAAGAAGAAAAAGAAGAAGAAAGATAAAGATGCAGAGAATGGTGATGTAGCTGTTGGGAGTGATGGCGATGAAGGAAGTAAAAGCAAGAAGAAGGAGAAGAAGAAAAAGAAGAATAAAGATGCACAAGATGAGTAGAGGAGAAGGTCTTGGCTCCCTTGACCCAATCAATGCTCATATGTATGTCATATTGCATGTCATGTAGTTGTTCAAAATTTTTGCCGTTTATTCACTTGTTTGGGCAGGAGTTTGTTGCAGCTGAGTTCCTGATCATAGACGTGCTTATTAGTTTAGTAGTTTAATCTTTGTCTTTTATTTGTTCAGACTTGATTACTGCAATCTACCAGGCTATTTTCAGTCTTAAGTTTTGAGATGTTTTTGTTAGCTCCTTATAATCTGCTCTTGTATTATATGGCTCTGTGGATATCAATAGCTGAATGACAACTACCTTTGTTTGAAGTCTGATGTCCCAGTATAATAACTAGTTGAGGCTGGAGGAAGTTTGCAAGGTGGTAGAAAGATTTTGGCCTCTGTTCTTGGTATGACATCTGTAAGCACTCCGATCTAAGAGGGGCTGAGAAAGTGTTGAACTTTTAATCCTCATTGAATCAATGTACTTTAAATTTCAAAATGTGCTTGTTTGGCACAATACTCACAGTTTTTGGATTCAGATTTGAATATGTTGACAATGAAACAGGTATTGGGTGATAGGTGCCCTCTGTATGGTCAATCTTAATCGGTAAGTCTTGGTTTATAAGCTGGTTTGAATTTTCCTGGAGGAGTTTGCTGACAGTTGATACAATACACCTTAAGAAAGCCATTACATGTTTCCCAAGTTTTTATTGTATTCACCTTTGTCCATTTTCTTAAATGCTCTTGTTATTTACCTAAAATGAAAGGGCATTGCTAACTTAAAGAGAAGTTTCTTAAATTCATGATTACATGAAACAGACCTTTTTAATGTTTAAAGCAAACCAATAAACAGAAAGAAAACTACACTCCAAAACACAAATTCAGTATGTATTCTAACATAGAGAAGCAAAGTATAAACAGTGAACATTGTTTACAGAAATGAGTGACTGTTTTACGTTACTAGTACGTATGAACATTCTGACAATATAAGGAGCAAGACTTAAAGAGTAGGGGATGAGACACATGAAACCGGCCAGGAGTTGATTCAATTACAGGGAGACAATTGACTTGTAGTATCACTTTACTCAAATTTACAAATTGAAATAGTCACATTCACAAATGCTCGTCTTCAATTATAAAATTGGATAATCAGAAACTGCCGAAAATTTGTGCACCAGGTCCACAGGAGATTGCTGGACACTCACAGAACTCATAACTCATTTTCCCATTCATAGGAGTAGGAATACTTGCCACAAGAAAAGAAAAGAAGACAAGATGATATAAGACAGCATGCGACAAACTGAACCAAATATTCATAGAACTCAACTCATTTTCCCATTCTTGTAATACAAATCACCTTTAAAGGCAAGAAAGTAATCAAACAAAGTTCACATGTCACTGCATTTCAATTCCTCAGAAGTAAGCCAGTCTTTGGTAGCGGTCAAGTCAGGCAGCACAGTGGCACCAGATTTTCTCCAATTGACAGCATCAGCTGTTTTGAATCTGTCCAACAATAAAGCATGCATCCCAACACTTCGTGCGGGCAAGTAGTCTTTCCTCATGCTATCTCCAATATGAAGTACTTCTTCCGGTGCTACATTTCCTGCTCTCTTCAAGGCAATCTCAAATAATCTTGGATCTGGTTTTTCAACACCTTCAAGACCCGAGAATACGCCAAAGTCCCACTCAGATCCCTGATTTTAGTTTCACACACAAAAGAGGGGTCACATCTACTTTGTGACTGTCAGTGAATGTGCAAAAAGATTAACAGCTCAGCCGAAAATGGTTAGAAGAAGATTCAATGTAGCTAAATGAAATCAGTGCTATTGTTTATCTACCTGATGCAAACCTAAAGCAGGAAGAATTACGTCCTGATACCGATACTCGGCATTGCTGACCAGCCCAACCGTAATGCCCCTCTCGCGAAGCCATCTGAGAAACGGTTTAGAATCAGGAAATATGCTATAAGGCGCAGAAGAACCAAAAGTAGCATATATGCGTCTAAATATCTTCTCAAATGTCTCCTCATCATATTCATATCCTGCCTGTCAAAAAGAGATGGTTAATGTCAGTACTAAATGAAACAACTACTAACGTTTAGATATGAAACCACAATTTTGGAATCGTCGAAGGTTAGTCACTTAGTAATTCTGCTACTGCATTTTCCAAATGAATATGTAGTTTCGGAAATAAGGTTATAGAATATACTGAAAAGCTTGATAATGTCATGTACAATACCCTAACAAAGGAATCCCTGACACAAGTTTTCCACCACACAATGTTAGGAATCTTTTCAGCAAATCCAAAACATGGGTGCTTCTGTGCCATTTCTGTATATGCGAGCTTAAAACCTTCATGAACCCGCTTATAGTCAGGACATTGCTTCCCAGCAGCTTTGGCTGCCATGCAATAATAGTCACCCAGCTCTCCTTTGTAAGCAATGAGTGTACCGGTAACATCAAGCGTGATGCAGCGTAACTTTGTTAACATAGACATTGTAAACGATTGGACAGCAAACTCTAACCCTGTGATTACTGTATCTTGTACTTCAAAAGCTTCATGAACCAAAAGATATAAGCTTAAAGAGGTATTCACAGTCCTGCATTGAAATTTTCAGCAATTATGTCATAGAGTCATTAATTCAGTGACAAGCATTTATCACATAAAGAATACCAGCCATTGACACTTTTTGATTATGCAATTCCCAAATATATGCCAACTCCTACTAATAACGCATCCATTTCCGAAAGTAATCTTATTAGGACACAAATTGACTTCAGGTAGTCCTCAAACACAATAGTAAAACCAGAACTAGAGGAATCCACAGAAGAGGGTTCAATTAACCCAAATATACATCAAATAGGTGCCAGTTGTTTTTCCAATGAATTTCATCAGCAAGTAGAGTTCTGCTATGAAGCTGTTCTCATGACCGGAAGGGATATAATTCCAATATTCTCAAAGCATATTATTAAGTCCATATTGTAGTGAGTGAGAAGAGCTCTTCTGAAACTCTTCAACACATACAAGAAAAGGAGTCTTCTAACTGGATCAGGAGAACGACATAGCTGATCTTGCTACTCTAAGAGGTTAATGCTACGCAAACTCTACAACTTCAAGGAAATGATATAACTTGTGTAAGCTAGGAGAGGACACTATTCCACACAAATTGATATGAGGAAGCCTTTTAGGAGCTGGTGCCTACAGCTCAGCGAAGTAAACTTAACAAATACATGGAGGGAGACATCCTATAAGTGTTTAGAATGATAATGGACGACACAGCAATCCTGCATCTTGTGTTTGGTGCTTAAGTTATCATCTTAATTCTGCATGTATAATGGATGTTACTTGTAACCTTATCATAACAGTCATCTTTAAGAGAACCAAGGGAGGCAGTGACAATCTGTCAAGACATTAAATAAGATGGCGGAGAAATCTACCATATAATAGGCATTGTCTCCATGCTAAACTTTAAACAACTTTTTAAGCTATGTTACATGGACTTTTTAATTCCCCTGGCATACCTAGATTGAACAATTGATATACTTCTAAATACAGTAAAACTTGCTAAGTTGGCCTGCTAAAGGGATACACATACTGACACCTTACCAAATATATACATACCTAAATCCCAGAACATAGGACTGAACACTTCCTTATATACACCTACAAGTAAACAAGAATATCTCCTAAAAGGGAAGGAAAAACGAAATAATAAAGGACGGATGCAACCTTATCTCTAATGCATGAGTTCACCCGGACATGCTATGATACTATGAGCAGAAGGAAGCAATAAATCAATTGTAGGTTGATCCAAGATCCAAAAGTTAACCTTATGCATAGAATCCAAGAACCTGCTAACTTCAGTATAACCCTAGTTTTCATATAAGATTGCACATTCCTCAAGAACTAAATGCCAGAAAATAAGCTTATGATTAAACAATAGTCTGACCTGAAAATCCAGCAGTCAACTTAGAAGAAGTTGCAAAAATGCTTAACAACCTAGGAAGAATTAATCCTTAAATATGTTCCTTCAGATTATAAATACCATAAACGATTAACCTCTGTTCTACCACTTCTTGGTTTTTCTTAAATACCAAGGGGCAAAATCTGATCTGCTGCCTTCCACAACTAATCATGCGGACAATTATTTCAGACATATTTATATAAAATAACAAGCATATCAGCTCTGACAGTTATAGTAGAAGATATAAAAATACAAAACATCTCTATTGATGTGCCAGACTGACAATAAACATCTACTCTTCATCAAAACCTACTCAAACACAGATAAACCCACAAAAAAGTTTGCACCTTTATCATATATAAACCTTTAAAAGTTTCAGGTTTATAAACCTGCAGCTCAGTGAAAACAAGGCCAAACATCTCCATACCATAGGTTAGTTTTACCTATAAAATTTAAGAGGACTAATGAACTGCATTAATATTATTCGCCAATTCCTCAATCCCAAACTACTAGGGATCAGCTGAATGCTACATCAATTCAGCACAAAAGACAAGTAAACCTTTCGTGTCAAAAACAAACTCATCAACCAGTAGAATAATGACTATTCATAAACCACACGCAATAGCATGAACACCTCATCATTAGGACTAAATCCTAATCCACACCGGTTCAATTCAAATTTCTGAAACATCACAAGTCCACTTAACAAAAAAATAATAATAAGATGATCTTCATTTTCTCTTCTTTTCTGTAAGGTGGGTTCATTCAAAATGTGACAACATTAAGAAAAAGTAAAAGCAAGAAACTTTTAATGTTCAACCAATCTACCTCATAAAGACGCCTAACATTTCCAAGAAGAAAATTTTCAAGTTCAAGAACACATAACAGCTAGAAAATCACAAGAAATGCAGGTTTCTGAATCAAACTATATCTTCATTTTAACAAACCCATAATCTTTTAGACAAAAAGATCAACTTTTTACACAAGAAATGAGACAAAAGATGGATTTGAAGCATACCCAGAAGCTCAAATGGATGAGAAAGAGAATGGCTTCAATAAAATTGCTATCTTTTCCAAGTAAAGTAAGATTCTTAAAGAAGTATATGTATATTCAATTCGTGAAGTGACGAATTTAAAAGCCAATTTTAGCTTCTTTCCCAGGTACAATTTGATGCATTTTTCACTCTCTTCCCGTTTTATACTAATTACTTTTACAATATTTTTGCATCAAAGTCCTTTAGGTTTGTTCATTTTACCTTTTGGACCTTGTAATAATTATTTTCATGTGTGATTTGTCCATGATTTATCATAAAACGTGCATTAGACTGTCAATTACTACTATGTATTATGTTGCTTTTAGTTTGTGCTAACTAGTTAAGTATTGGATTGTACAATTTCTTGAAAAGGAAGTTTTAAAAGTAAGATACAAAAAGTCAAGGGCACATTTGCAAATCTTCCCGATACACGAAGCAAATAAAACCATGGACGGGTTTTGCCACTGGATTTGTATTACCTAAGCTTTTAATAGCATCTTGTTTTCAGATATCATGAACCATCACCCCCTAACAGACTTGCAGACCTTACTTTTTTTTTTTTTTTTCCACACAGACACAGTAAGAGTGTTTGAATTAATTTGCTCGCACAAAGTTTGTTCTTTTAATTTAACTATTTTGTATTTAAATTTTACTGATTAAACTAATTTGGATGCAAGTCAATTGAGAGAATAAAAGTTTTTATACTCCTCCTTAAAACCTGATAAATAACTCCATCATCCCGTCACATTCCTTAGTGGTCATCAAGACGTGTTATCTTTTACTAATACAAATTTAGCCTCTTCTCTCAAGAACTTTCCTACTTCATTAATCATATAGGCACGAATTTCTAAGGTAATTTTTCTTTTTACTAATATAATATAGTATTACTGTCCATATGCAGCAACGTGTCAATTTTATATAGACTCATCCCATATAAAATAATTTGTGAGTATGCGGTCCCTCTAATTCCCTCAAGGAGGAGGGAGTTGTTTTTTCCTTTACTTTAAAAAAAAATACAGTACTTATTAGATGCAGTTAGTCAGTGAATAATGGAAGAAGGAAAAAATAAATGATATTAAATATTTTATTTTTTTTTGCTAAAACAAATGCATTAAATTGTTAATGCTTTCAGAACATTTTGGCTTTTTCCAAGGAAAATTAGTTGGGATGGATTAGGGAAGAAAGATATAGTATGTAGCTAAGTTTCTTTTTTCTTTTAATTGGTAGTGAATTTTTACATTTTTGTGGGGTAAGATGGAAGAGAATTTTTTTTTTTTTTTGCTTCTATTTTTGTATTAGGTGTTGGAGTAATTTTTGGCCACTTATTGATGATAATAAAGCTTGAATTTTTGGTTTAGAAATTAGATTTAAATGAATTAATTTGAATTTGATTTTTCAAAATCCTTTTATTCGATTTGCTGATTATCAAACCATTTTTTATTTTCTAAAAAATTGTTGATTTACATTTAGACTGAATTTTATAACCGTCTTGGATTTTCTATTTTGAAACCAACCAGCTCAATTTTATAACTCAACATCAATAATCACCTCTAATAGACTTACTTAAGTTTCTTCTTACCACGTTTTGTCTTTGCTAGAACTATTTCAAGTTTTCAACCATATTTTAATTTTATATAGGCTCCTCATATCTTATAAAACAAAAAGAACACTTTTAATTCAAGTCAGTGTATGTGGATTTGGATTTTGACTGAGTATCAAAATATAGATATGAATTTTTGGTTTGAAACCAGACTGTACAATGTTTATCTTCTAAAACAGAAAACCTAACTCGTTGGCGTCGAATTTAATTTCCTAACTAACCATGAGTTATGTTTTCTTCTTTTTAGTAAAGCAAAAAGTTTTTTTTGTTTTTTGTCCGGTGTCCGGTACTCGCATTGGAGCCCGAATATATCCGAATTCGCACCGTGCAGGGGCCCATTCGGGAGAAGCTCTCCCTACCAAGAATTTTCCATACACAGGACTCGAACTCGAGACCTCTGGTTAAGGAAATGACAGTTTCATCCCCTGCACCACATCCTTTGGTGGTAAGCAAAAAGTTCACATAACAAAAACTTTATACGGTAAAAACCGGTCTCAAGAGTTAGGTAATTTGGAAAGCGACACGTGTCAAGGATAGCCAGTCGGCAGTGACTCAACCATGGTAATACCGGATACGAACCTGTAACCGGATAAGAAGCAATTCAAAATATGACTGTTATAAAAACGTTACACAAGACTCCAAAATTCTCCGACCTTTATTAGCCTTTACTACCCTTTACTATTCTTTATTACCTTTTAATCGCCTTTTAGTATAACATTAATATTGGTAATTAATAAGGCATGGTTTGTAATCAAGCACCCCATAGCTCTAGTATAAATAGAGACTTCCATTATATTATAAGGGAGAAGAAGACATGATCAAGAAATACTAATAGCAAAAGACTTATATTCTTTATCTCATTCTCTTAAGCTTTATACAAGCGTGTTCGAGGTTTTTCAATTATTATTGATCCCAGTAAGAACATTCTAAAGCTTATGCTTATTTCTTCTTCAATTATCATTATTTACGCTATTTGCACTTTGTTATGTTATTTTATCGGGTCAATTTAATCCATGTGTCTATAAACCACGTTACAAATTTAACTGTACCATTTTACAAGTAAACAGTTTGGCGCCCACCGTGGGGCTTAAACAATTGTGATATTATTTTGATATGTTCATCTTTTACTAACGTACTTTGAAACTTTTCTGTTGTAAGCATAAAACAACTATGACACCCAATAATGTCAACAACTCGTTCAATATTGGAACAAACAACAACAACGAGCCTGTTGTGATGACCCAAAAGGTCATTACTTATTTTAAAACGAAATTTCCGTATTCTGAGGCCTTGAACACCTCATTTAGAGTCATCTCGATATGCGCACGCAGTCCGGACGCGTAGCCGGAAAGCTTAAATATGATAATTTGTGAAAATATGAGAAATAGAAATTCTAGAGTTAAAACTTTGATTATAGTTGACTTTGGTCAACATTCTTAGCAAACGGACTCGGATCCGTGTTCCGACGATCCCGGGAGGTCCGCAATAAAATATGAAACTTGGGCGTATGCTCGGAAATGAATTCCGAGGTCCCAAGCCTTAGAAATCAATTTTTGAAAGAAATTGTTTTACTGAATTATCTAAGGAATAAAGAAAAGAATTAATGTTTGAAACCATTGTTATCGGGCCCGTATTTTAGTTCTGGAGCCTGGTACAAATTTGTTATAGTATTTGAAAGATAACTGGAAAATTTGGTGGAAAACGGAGTTTATTTGACGTGAATTGGACTTCCGGTTGAAGAGTTATGAACTTTGAGAGTTCTTGATGAAAATGTTGAGTTTTGAGGTTTAATTCATGACTTTGCATGTTATTTTGATGATGTGATCGCACGAGTAGGTCCATATGATGTGTTTGAGTTAGTATGACATTTGGTTTGGAACCCCGAGGGCTCGGGTGAGTTTCGGGATATTTTTACACTTAGGAAAAAGTTGCAGATTCAGAACTAGAAGTTGCAGGTCTCTGAACCCTCCAGTGCGGTCCGCAGTATGTCAAAACCCCATTTGGAGCAGTTGAACTTGATTGATGAAAAAAGATTGGCAGCAGTATGTCATGACCAGTTATATCAAAAGAGAATGGCAAGAGCATACAACAAAAGGGTGCGTCCCCGAAAGTTTGAAGTGGGTCAGCAAGTGCTGAAACGTATCCTTCCACATCAGGTTGAAGCAAAAGGCAAGTTCGCCCCGAATTGGCAAGGGCCATTTATTGTAACCAGAGTATTGTCCAATGGTGCTTTATGTTTAACAGATATCGAAGGAAAATGCATAGACATGACTATAAATTCTGATGCAGTCAAGAGATATTATGTATGATTTCTTTGGTATAATTGTTGATTGTTTGTATTTGGCATTATTTCGAAGATTGAAATGACGAAGGCAATTTGTTCTGCTATCTAAACACTTTACCCTTTATTCCCCCTTTTGAGCCTTATTTATTTCTTTCATACCCCTCTTTTGGAATCAATAACGAAAAAGAGAGAAAAGAAAGAAAAGGAAAAAGAGAAAAGAAAAGAAGTGAAAAGAGAGAGTATAACAACAAGGAAATTCAGGTGTGAACTACGTTTGACCTGATTTCTGTTAAGGATACGTAGGCAGCCTCACGGCTCGGTCATAGTAAAATAAAATATCAAAAGACTCCCAAGCAAGAAATTGGGGCAGAAGTTGTGATTGTAATAAGAAATGTGATTCCAAAAGTTGTAATTTTGACCCATTTGAAGTTATTTTGAGCCCGTTTAAACCTTTTTTTTCCAAACATATCCAAGAACCCACATTTTTGTCCAAAGAAAGAACTCCCGATCAGTCTTCGAAAGATTCCAAGTCAAGCAATGTAAAGAGAATTCATATCAGGGGCAACACTCTGATTTAAGCAAAAGAAATCAAAAAATGAGAGAATCTTCTTGATGAAAACCCTCATGGGCACCATGAGGCGACGAAAGCCGAGAGAAAATAAAAATGAGAGAGTTTTATTGGTGAAAACCTTCACGGGCACCATGAGGCAACAAGGAATTGAGGAATGAACAAATGAGAGAGGTTTGTCGGTGAAAACCCTTCAGGGCACTACAAGTCAAACAAGGTCTGTAAGTTGGCGGAAAGTAAATTGGGTTGTGGAGATCTTGGAGCACAAAGTAAAATAATTTAAAAAGAGATTGGTTAAATAGAATGGGCTGATTAATCCAAAATGCATACCATGACCATTGGTGCCAGTGACTCCACTCAGATAAGTTCCTTTTCCTATCTCCGACAGTCATCCAAATTTGGATTTTCTTCTTTATTCTTAATTCTCAAAATCGTTGCATTTCATTGCTGTTAATTCTTACTCCTCTAAAGCTCTCCCAAGTTTAGCTTTGTTTCAACAAATAAGAAGGAATGTCAAAGTGTACTACCAGATTCAAAATTGCACAAAGCAAAATACAGCTAGGACACGCTGGAGATAGTATGATGAAAAGTGGGACATAGGGTGTAAGCAAAGGTTAAATCGGTGGAATGGTTCAGTAATGTCATGGGAGATGTATGGTTACAAATAAAAGGGTCAAAAGTGAAAAACAACA